AATGGACAATTTTTCACTCAGGATCCATTGTCTTGCAAGTTTTAACTAAACCACTCTGATTTTCTCCTATCACTCCATACAGTGAAAAGTTTGATTTATTTGTGCTTCTACTTCTCTGATTTATAGTAAGTAATCTTCTACATATGTTATTCAACTACAAACAAAAACATTCTGGGTGCCCTACAAAAACTTGTTTTGGACTGTCAATACCAGAAAAATATCATTTTTTGGAGATTATCTTGGATAAGATTCTCCAGCGATCTATAATAACAACAACTGTATTGACTGAAACCAGCTATGCCCTAAGAAACAACTATTAGTCATAGATATAATACTGTATACTTCAACCATCTTAGAAAGATAGTAGCACAAATATATGTGCTCAAGATATCTATCTTACCAGCTCACTATCAAAGCAACTATTTATTTATTTTATTTCCCAGATTATTCACTGTATTTAGTGTAAATAAATATGATAAAATAGTAAATATTTGGGGCACATTTTGAAGGTGTTTTTGTGTCAGAGGACTCAATAACTCATGGCCAAGACATTCAATAAAAACAATTTGTACAATTAAATTCATTTTGTTAAGTAGGGAATACAGTATTTTTGTATGTATATCAGGCTAAAATGTATCAATCTATATGTATATGTTACTATTCTAGCTGAAAGTCAACATAAGACATAGTTGTGGATATTTTTTAAAACAGGACATTAATTTTGTAAAAATAAGAAATTTTAAACATAAATTAATGAACCATAATTAAGTTACAAATAATTTTATAAAGATTCAAACTATTACAATATACTTACAAAGCTAGTATGTTACCATAAGTACCATAGAAAACTGTTTTGTTAAGCAGCTTGTTTCAATTATAAGTATATAAGGACATAAGGACATAATGAGACCTATTCAACAAATCTATGTACCTAAAATGTACTGATCATTGTGTGAGGTATAGGACTAGTTCTTGGATTGTTTACTCCAATTCAATTGTTACAATCTTACAGAGCAACATATTTACAATCAAGGAAAAGTTAATACCAAAATAAAATTATATAAAATGCACATGTTGATTGGTTACTTTTAAAAATATTCAGACAAGAAAAACTTTTGAGCATTCCTCCAAATAGTACAATTGGAAAAAATCAGAAAAAATACTTATTTATTTTAAAAATGTGAATAAATAAAAATCAATGTATCTTTGATGCTTTAATATTTGCATCAAAATTAAAGTCTGTATTATACGAATTATTGTATACCATCTATGGTTATTTGAAAGCAATGCAATTCATGTTTGTTTATTTTTATACTCTCTATATTTCCATTTTAGTCCCTGTTTTCATTTTTAATTTGATTTGTTTTAATATAATATTGTGTTTTTCTTTTTGTGGTGCTAGGGATTGAACTAAAATGATACTTTTATATACTAGCCTTAATTATCAGCTTGGAATTAGAAAAGCTATGGTTATCAAGAGTTGTTTTCAATAATATTTTATAACATAAAAGTCATATAAGATATTTTATTTCCATCTTTAAACAATAAAAGTTATTGATGTAATTTCATCATCATCATTACCATTAAATGTAAGACTGGTATGTAAATATATTACATAATCATAAATTTGATTCATAAAGTTCATATTCAACTATGCTGTCTATACATTATATATGACACACTATTCAGATAGAGACAGGGAAGTTGATTTTTTTTTATACTGAAATGCTATAGATCAAAACAAGAAGAAAGAAATTTAGTAAGGAGAAATGTGATGAGCATGCAATTTGAGCCATAACTGTGACTAGTACATTCTTGTTTACATTCAATGTGCAAAGAAATTCATTGCAGATTTGTCTCTTAATAAATATTTATTGAATGAATAAGTAATTTCACAACAGTTTACCTTGTTTTTAATTATAAAAATTTTAGGTTAAAACACCCATTATGGTAAATTTAAGTAAATTGTGAATTGCTATATGGATTCATGAATATTTTATGATGAAAACCAGGAATATGTTATAGCTAATTTTAATAAATTAAGTAAGGTGTTAAATATCTTTTAGGCTGGATTACAAAGCCTAACAGATTTCAAGAAAAATGAAGAATTGAGCTCTTGAACACAATTTATCACAATAAATAGAATGAGTCACCTCCAATAAATCAATAATCAATGTACTAAAATTTTCTCTATGATATACTTTTAAAATATCTTACTGGAATCAATTTCATCATGAACTTAAATGATTGATAGAATTATGCCATGAGGCATTATTCAAGATCTTTGAGATACAAAGAAAAGAATAAGTTCTTGTCCAAAAGGAAATAACAGTTTACCAGGGAGAAAAGTGCCCCACACAGAAACAATAAAGCTAAACTCGGTAGTATGATTAGAAATAATGAAGATGTGCACAGAATTGACAGATAAAAGATATCTACACTTAATTCCAGAAATTATTTAAAATGGGAAAAATAGCTTCCCAACATTTCAACAGGGGATGAATGTTGGATGACGATTGGACCTGAAATCAGCCAAGCAAAAACATGAAATGTACAGGCCATATTGTTTTCATTGCAACAGAAATTAAAAACCCACCTCCATCTTGTAGATACAAGCCATGCCTTATGCCCAAACCCATTAAAACTATTGATTAGGGAACAGGTCTGGACGATTTAATGCCTAACCTAAAATGATTGGTGGGAATTTGCAAGGTAGAAAACTGGACAAGGTTTGTTCTAGTGAAAATACAAAATATGATCTTGTAAATTGAAAAAATAGTGCAATTAGAAGAAATATACACACTGGAGAAGTCAAAGATGAAACTACAGCAGAAGCCAGGGAAGGATCTGAATCATCACCAGTGCTGAGGTAGAAAATCTGGACTTCCCTAGGGGAGTTATATGGCGGCCCTGTGCAAGCATGGGCTGTGAGATTGCAGTACCCAGTCTGTGCTGAAATAAGAACTATTGTTCACATCCTTCCCAGTATAATGATACTGCCCCATCTGTCTCAGGTTTAAAAAAAATTAATTTCCTTTTCCTAATTTTTAGAAAGTCATATATGTCCACAGAATATCAAAAATTCTGCTTGGCATCTGAAAAAATCAACTGAATTAATTATATATAGTAACAATAAAGGGAGTTTATTTTCAAAATTAAATCACTTTTCTCTTTGTTTTTGTTTTCAAAAGAACTTTTTTTTTTCTTTTTTTTAGTGTTGTTTTGGAAAACAGCTTAGGTATATCAAATGAACAAGACACCTAGAGATAAGGACAATAGAATAACACATATGTCCGGATTTAATTTGTCTATTTTATTTTAATGTTAAGTTATAACTTAAAGAAAATAATTACATATGAATGATTTGAAGTTCCAATTAGAAAACCCAAGTTCCTTCTATAATTTTGTTCATATTTTAAGCATTAAATAACCAAATATCACATTTATTCACAAATTATAATGACAAGAATAAGTGATGAGTTAATGGTTTTTGTTTTTTTTTTGGTTAGTCTTTGGATTTAATTTTAAAACTCATTTTTATACCAGAGAAAGGTTCATAATAAAAAAAAAACTGTATTTAGTCATTATTAGTCACACAGGTACAAAAAATATTTGATTTTTCAAATCAGCAGAAATAGTCATTCTTAATGTTGTTGAGGGAAAATATCATGATTTTCTGAAATTTTCAAGGTTCATAATTGGCTACTTTAGTCACAGGCAGAATGAGCTTATAAATATTCATTTATTAAAAACATTATTTGTAAGTTTCAAGAACTGTAGTCAAATAAATATGTGAAAACCATATCCAAATTCCTGATTTCAGAAAGGGGACAGTTGTCATAACAATAAACAAAAGAAAGATAGTTTCAACTATGTTTTCAAGATCAGTTTTAAAGGTATTAGTATTTCAAAGAATTTTAACAGAATATATTTCACTTGTATTATGGTATGACATTATTTTTAAATACCACTTTTCATTCTTTGTATTTACCAATAAATGTTCATTAACCTTTCAAAAATTAAAGAGACCATAACTTTACTCTAACATAGGTGCTGAACTGAAGACCTAAGAGTTGTTGAATTTTATTAAAAACACAAAGGTCCATTTGCAAAAGACTATATACACAAAGTGCTGGAAGACTTAAAAATATTAGTTATTTCGGGTCCAGAGCTATAACCATACATACAAAAAGACACCTGGAGTGATTTTTCAAATATTCTCTGTCATATTTACAATTATAGAACTAGAAATAAAAACTGTAAATGAGGTCACAAACTTCTCAAGAATAGAATACAAAAGCACTTATACAAATGACTAAATATATTTAAATGAAAAGAAAAAAATAGTCTCAATATATTTGAGATTATACATATATTCTTATAAAGACTCCAACACAAGTCAGGAAAAAGACTTGTTAATAATAATATATTAATAATAATATTAATATATTAAGTGGCAAAAAAGAAACCATGATATTTCCAAATATTCATTAATACAGGAAAGTTAGTTAAAATGTCTACAATGCAAGCTAAGGTTTTTTAACTATAAATTTATTTTGTTAACTATGTCCAAATAAAAATTCACATCTCTATCTCAAAACTCTTAACTAGTATTATACATTTTTATCTGCAGAGTGCTTTTCTTAATAATACAATTTATAATTTTCATTAACTGTAACCTTCTATTAATCTAACTGCAATGAACTTTAAGCAACAAAATTTGCCCTTAATTCAGATTCCAAAAATATGGGAATAGCTATTCTGAAGTTGCCTATAATTAAATATATTACAATGAAATTAAATTTTGTGAGGGTGATCATGAGTCTTTTTGTGAAATATTTTATATTTCACAAAATGCAATTTTTATATGATAAATGACATAGACAATTAACAGCCACAGTTCTAAGCACTACCCTTGGTTGTCAAGATCAAAAAGTTTTTCATTTGTGTTTTATTATAACAAAAATAAGTGTTTTAAATTGCAAAAATGTGACATTTACCTTTTCCAATTGAGCGTTTTTTTTGGATTTGTATAAAAACTCTCCCACTGCCACAAAAACTGAGAGCACCAAGCCGGCTGCCAGAACAATGAAGATGCCACCAATATTTTGAACCCCTAGGGCACTGGCCTCTTTGCTTTCTTCCTCTGGGCAACCATTGCCCCTCCACCACTTCTCCTTCATCATATGCAGCTTGCCTTCTTCTTGCAGCTGAAGAATTGCTATGGTGATTTTATCTCTGTATGGAGAACCTAAGAAAGGAGAGGACATGTTAATCATTCAAGGAACACAGAATTTCATAACTAAAGGTTAGCAAGATGAGAGGAAAGCAGACATTTTTCCAAATGCTTGAGTGTGCATATATTCATTTTCAGTAGAGAAAATCAACTGGGAAAAGATAATAGAAGTTTAATGAGATAAATAAAACAGAAAGCCTTTCTAGATTTTGCAGGATACATGAATTTTGCTAAGAAATTTCTCTATTTTATAAGCTGACAGCACATAGCATTGGAAAATAAATCAAACAGTAAGAAAGAATTCACAAAAGGAAAAGGTAGAGTGACAAAGATGTTTAGTTCACATCTAAGAATGGTTCTACAGTGAAGTCAGAACATTGTTAAGTCAGTAGTTTTATTTTTAGGAAGGTAGGGAAATTATTTTTCTCAATATGAAATTAAATAGTTAAAGGTAGTAGTGATGAACAAACCGTATCCAATCATTCAATATTTTGCAGATAATGGGCATACAGTTTTATTTGCTACTTGATGTGAATTAAAAAAGTCGCAGGTTATATAGAATTGGATTATTTGAAATTCATTATGGAAATGTAATTCATAATTCATAGACTCACTGACTTGATATTGTAAAGTATTTTTGATTGTTTGTCATTTTGTGCTTTGGAGAAAAATGTTCTTTTCAGTGGAGGCAATGTGGCATACGTCTGTAATCCCAGTGACTCCAGAGGCAGAGGCTGAGGCTGAAGTATGAGGTCTCCCTCAGCAAGTAAGACCCTTAGCAATTTAGTGAGATTCTGTCTCAAAATAAAAAATTTAAAAGGACTGGGGATGCAGCTCAGTGGTAAGCATATCTGGATTCAATTCTGAGTGTAAAAATTTTTTTTCATTTAGAATTCTGCTTTTAAAGATATATGTTAATCTGCATTAGCAATTACTTGGTAAATATTATTTGACTAATTGAATGCCTAGAAGCAGAAAAAAAATTGAACTGCATGCATCTTTCAAAATCTGACCCAAGAAATTGGACTTATTGCATGCATTCTCCCATCCAGAAATAGCTTGCTTCTAAAGTGTAATTTTCTTTGCTAGAACACTATACTTCACATTCCATTTTTTTTCAGCACAAATTCACCCATCATGTTTTTCTGCTTATATAAAAATACTAAACATTTCAGCTTTATTCAATGCTGCCTGTGATTATATGTGTAAATATATCTACATTCATAGATCTTTCTTTGCAAGATGAGGTAAAGTAAAAGCAGAGAAGAATTGTAGCATGTTAAGTGTGTTGAAAATGTTGAGGTTGTGAAGATCTTTCAAACACAACTGGTGAGCTATTTCTTTAACACAATACTTTACTCAAAAGAGTAGAAAAGCCTATGGTTTCTATAAAACTTTTTTCATGGTTTTTCTTTAAAAAGGCTATTATTCATCTTTGTAATTGGAACTGTCTCTGCAATTTTTATTATGGAATAAATTCCAAGTATAATAAAGGAATTCCTGTTCCAGTTTCCTTCCTATGCTCTTTTTCAAATACTACTCAAATTCCAATGCTCAGTGGGAATTCTGCCTACCGCCCCCATACACTCTTCAAATTTTAGTGTATTACTCCATTCTACTTTCTACTTGGAACAGTTAGGTACTGAACAATTAATTTAAGTAATCTACTGTTATTATTAATAACCTGTCTAAATGGAACCTGTTTTTCTATATTACATGCTCTTTGGAGAAGATATTGATTGGTTTATACAACCACCCATCCATTCATCCATCTCTCTGAATTCTCATAGACTTTAGACAAATGTTTGCATCTTCTGCAAAATTTGATTAAGGACATTGTAAAGAATGTGGCACATGCCTATAATCCCAGCGGCTCTGGAGGCTAAAGTAGGAGGATTGTGAGTTCAAAGCCAGCCTCAGCAATGGAGAGGCACTAAGCAATGAGCCCCTATCTCTAACTAAAATACAAAATAGGGCTGTGGCTCAATTGTTGAGGGCTCCTGAGTTCAACCCCCAGTACCAAAAATAAAAGAAAGAAAGAGTAACAATCTATGATTTGGATCTGTTTGAAATGTAATGAAACACCATGGAACTCATCTTTTTTTTTAACCTTTATTTTGCTCATTTATTTATTTTTTTTATGTGGTGTTGAGGATTGAACCCAGTGCCTCACATGTGCTAGGGAAGTGCTCTACCACTGAACCACAACCCCAGCCAGAACCCATCTTTTTTTGACTATCCATTTTCATTAATCCACCATATCTAGCTTAGCGCTAGCTCAAAGGTCACTCTTACTCTGAATAACCATTCTTATTAATGTTTTTTCCATATAAAATAAATACTTAATTGAAAGGCGAGGAAATTTCCCTTTTAAGCACAATGGTAGTTTATCAATTGTGATTTTCATTTAAAGCATAGCATCTAAAACAAACATTTTTCTGACAGTATTTCTGAAAATGGCCATACCTGGCTAACACAAGATGTAGTTTCTTTTCTGGAAATATAATCATAAGCAAGATTTAAGGGGATTGTTACTTGAAAAGGGACTTTCAAATACAGAACACTCTTAATCCAGCTAAATACTTTGGGCCAGCTTATTTCTCATCCTGAGTAGTTTTGACAGACTATTAGTTTTTTTTTTGTTTTGTTTTTTCCAATTCACCATACCCACAGAACTATACTGGAATGTTTGTTCTGATACAGTCAAACACAACATTCTCCACTATAATTTCAAGAACAAAACTAGACACAGATCTACAAAAACAAACTACTTCTTAGCAAATAATGGGCCTTTCTTGTTTCCTTGTCAGCTGAGCTTCCTATTTTCAATTTCCAATTCAATAATTTCCAATTAAATAGTGAAAGGTAGTGGTGATGAACAAATTGTATCCAATCATTCAATATTTTGCAGATAATGGACATACAGTTTTATTTGCTACTTGATGTGAATTTAAAAAGTCACAGGTTGTATAGAATTGGATTACTTGATTTGGGTTACTTGCAAATACAAAAAATTCCCATTGGTAGAAAACCTTAGTACACTTGTTCTCCTGAGCACAGTAATGTTTAATTGATATTTTGTTTTAATCAAACTTATAAAGTTACTACAATTTATTTTGAGGTTTTAATAGGATGAAATAATATATGGATATAATCAATAACTGCAGATCACTGATGTTTTACATGTTATTATTTCATTAACTTAGTTTAAGTTTTTTTTTAATAGAACAGTAATTCAACAAAGAATTGCTACTGCTTTGATATGGAATTTGAAGCTCATTGGGAAGTATTTCTACACAGACAAATGTGGACTGAAATTTCATCCAGTTGTGAAATCTCAAGGACATATTGAGATCAAAGAATAAAGAGTATCTTTCATTCTCCTGTGACATGAATAGCCATGTGCTTAGTTCTAATGAAGTGAAGAGTCATTAGTTAGATAGATAGTCCCAATTCCAGCCTCAATTCATATACTGACCAGCAAGGAACTGATGGAATTGGGTTAAACAGAGAAGCTGAAGATTTACATTTTCAGGTCATCTGCAAGGAAGAGATGCATTTTTTTCAAGAGGTCTCTGTTTCATTTGGAAAAAAAAATACCTGAGGAAATGATAAAGTTGTCTATTATAACTCACAAATATGCTTACAAACTTACAACTAAAAATAAATAGTCAAATGCTTAAGAAGTAGACAACCATAAATTAAGGAAATCAATAAATGAATGAAGCAACATAGACAAAACTATCAAAAAATCTGCAACATCTACAGTAGACAAACAACCTTCATTTCCAGTTTTATTGAAACTCTGTGGAATTTCCACAGTGACCATTTATTTTTAGTTTTTATGAAGTCATATAAAATATTTTGTGTAAAACTATCTAACTTAAGTAGATATTCAAAATAAGTCAAACACTTCCTAAAGCTGAATTTTGCCTTTGCATCTTTATTATGTAACATTGGTTCTTTGGTTCTTTTTATATTTTTTCTCTCATTTGACTTTCTTTGGTTATTTCATCATATTCTCCATATTTACAGTAAGGGAACATTGTTTTTAAAATTATGTTTTTAGAAGTTACCAAAATACCATGTGATAAGGTAAAAAGAGTTCCAGTTTGCATAAGAAGAAAAAGAAAGAGAAAGAAAGACATATGTTTATTCCAAGGAAACCTTTTGATGTTATATGCATAAGACATGAAGCTCAAACTGAGCTATCCAAGGAGGTATAGAGGTTGTTTTGAGGGACATACTGTGACAGTATGTGGATGGAGAAATAAAAATGATGAATGTACTTATGCAGAATTTCCTCAATTATAAAATTTTTTACTCCAAAAGTCCCTAAATGTTGAATTTTGATCAAATAATTTCATGTAAAATTGTGATTTTATAAGAATTTCTTCCAAGATATTTATTAAAATTTCCTAGAATAAACTGTGATTATTATAAATAATAGAAACAAATCTCAGCAAAGATTTCAGAGGTAAATTTAGATGATTCATCTCTCCCTGCCTCCCTCCCGCTTTCCCTTCCTTCCTCTTTTTGCCCCTCCCTCGCAGCTTCTATTCTTCTGCCCTTCCTTGTCTTAGTCTTTTCACTCCTCCCATCCTTTCTTTTCCTTTTATTTCCTTCCCCTCAATGTCTTCTTTTCCCTTCCTACCCCTGCTCTCCTCTCCTCCTATCTTTCTTCCCCTTCTTTCCACCCTCTATCCTTTCCTTTCTACCATTCAAAGTGCCTCACTTGTAGAATACAGCACACATGTAAGTCATAGTTAATTTTAAAGTCTAAGTCTGACATATACAATTTATTGATTTGCTCAGTATGCTGCCATTTTAATTCTCTGTGCGAATGTACAGTTATATACAAATATTTCCCTTATTTCAGTATATCCAGATATCATATAAAAATATGGTAAATGCAATCCATATTAATCTTAATTCTGGCAAAGACTTATTCATCAGTAAACAGTTTTTATTTCTGGATGCACGGTAAATTATCTAATACCCTATCAGGTTTAATG